TGCGTAAATAAAAAAAATGTGTGGAACACGTGCAGAAACAAGCCAAACGTGTAACACATCAGGCAAATGCCACGTGACAACAAAACTGGAGAGAAGCAATCCGTAAGAACAAATACGGTAAATTAAATGAAATTTATCACCGCGTGTATAATGTGTTTTTATAACTTTAATCGGTTTTTAAAGGTGTGTCGACTCCTGCTAAGTATTAAGTTTTAAAAGGATTTATGGAAGCGAAAAAATAAATGAGACTGAAAATGAACTGTGTATATTTCCTTGGGATCTTTTAATTAAAGATTATATAGTGGCTGCAATAAACCAGTTTTCTATTTATCTTGGGCGCGACATTGTATATTTTTAAGTTGATTCCGACGTATTTCTTTCTTGCGCTTAGATTTATGGTTAGTTAATTTTCCTTGAAAACGCTTTTACTGTGTTATGTTAGTGGAGTAGCGTTTTTCGTAAGAAACATGAACATTTATCAGCAAGTGTGTTTATGTTCAGCGATCCCCTGTTAAAACTAACACTGGAACTAGAACGCAGATATGAAATATTGTTGTGATATACTGGATAGTTCGTCGCTTGGCCTGGATGCAGGAATTGCATAATCACCAAATGGATGTGAGTGATTTTTTCAGTTTTCTCTGTTGAAATGGGTGATTTGTTTCCTTGCCCTCAAAGGATGCAATAATATCGTTCCTGATCATGTCAATGTTATTAAAAGCTATGCAAAGCTCACATGCAAGTTGCCATTCGCGAAAGCACGCAACCGAGCGCCGAACATAATTCCTGCAATCCCAGTATCGTTTATGAAAAAGTAACTGTCGGTGTGCGCCTTGAAAAAATAACTAATAAAAATTTAGCCGCATATTTCCTGATAAATCGACGTTTGCATGCTGTAATTGCCGTACTTTATAAAACTGATTAATTAAATGTATTACTCGATCGACTGTTGCCATTTTTCATTAACGAAAATATGCGCTTTCCGGTAGAATAATAATAATAACAGACGGCGATATATCTTTGTGACAAAATATGGCACATTATCTGCAATAAGCTGTATGGCAAGATTAATTGTTGTTGGAGGTCTGGCCCCGAGTTCGCCCTAAATAATAAGTTCTATTTTAGTTGGGTAACACGGTAAACATAAATACGATGTCGGCAAAATACGCTTTATGGGCTTACCTACCCATTCAAAACATTATACCGTTCACTTGGTATTGCTATTTGTTCGCCGACTAAATGCGGGTATTTCTTCATGATTATCCGCATGACAAATTAGTGGAGATAAAATATTAATTGTTCTTCATTCTCTCGACAATAATTTGAGTAGCAAAACATCACAGCCGAAAACAAGAGGCACCTGAATAATTAATTATCAATCCAATATAGTTTTCAGCACAATTGCAGTTAATTAATCGTTTCCAAAACCTTTCAAATGCACCACTGAAATGCCACTAGATTAGCTTGAGGTTGCACAAAAGGGAAACGTATTTTGTACTTTGGTTTCTTCAAGAAAATTAATTAAACGCAGACACTGTTTATATGTTCAATAGATTCGGGATAATATTCAGAATGCTGGCTGCAAGCAGCAGCATGAAAAGCCAACAAACGTATTTTGCATGTAAAGTGAAAAATATCACAAATCAAGTGCGTAAACCAGCAGCATCTTCACAAAGCTGCATTTGTCAAGGAAAACTTTTCAATAGCACTCTACTCGCAAACTTTCATAATATATTTTTATATTACATTTATTTATTTATTTATTTATATATGCGTTATGGTCTATTTAGTTTTGTGCGGTTGTAAATGCGAAGAAATTACGACTCTATAGAAGGCTGGCATAATGAGATGCAAATGTCTGCAGTAGTGCAATCAGTGATTTGAATATAGGCAAAAGACGAATAGACCGGGGGCTTAATCTATAAAATTCGATCCTGCTCAACTAAGAGAAAAATATACCACTAAGTCATCAAATCATATGAATAGTCACACGTACTATTGTATTATCATATAGAGCTATAGAGATATAATTATGGTGAACGGCATAATGCTTGTTGGGATTTCACATTAGTCCGAAATTATTAAATGGGTTTACCTCAAGCGATTAGCATTGCAAATTGCAACATACCTAATTGAATAGGGATTAGTGGCTTTTGGAAAAAAGGAGGGTCGCTCGCTGCTAATTACCAAGGCACAGTTGTAATTGCTATGAAAATGAGACGTGAAAATATTAGAACTGAAGTCTTCTATTGTTTAATGCATGATGTTGGAACGGAAGAGTTAACGATTTGATGATGGATTGTTTCAGTGCAAACCAAACAATAAATACCCGCTCAACTGTATGCGAAGAAAATTAACGTGCAGTAGTGTGGTGTTAATTTGAAATCACCACGAGCATCATGCGTATACAGATAAGTGTTCGTTAAACTATGGAATTAATAAAATGGCTGCAGAGTGAAATTGCTTTTCTTTGGGCAAGTGAATATGTGGCAGATGAGTAACAGGTTCTCAATAGAAAAACCACCATCGTAAAAATACGGTCCCGTTATAAAGAAAATATAGAATCCTCATTAATAAAAATTTCATCTAACAATTGGCAAGTATCAATCAATTTTGTCAGAAGCGAGTGATTGATGACGATGGAATCTGAAGAGTTTGTATCGCTGTCACCTTAGCAGACTCCAGCGGACAGATAATAAATTGTTGCAGTAAAAGCTAGAGGACAATAAATACGCCAAGGTCTCGTAATCGATATCAATAAATGAGGATATTATTCAGGGTCATTAATTGGACGGATTATTCGTAGGTTAGAGGTGGTTTGGACAGATCATTTGGCTCAGGCAGGGTCTTCCAGATGTCCGTATTAGTCGACTTGTTTTGTCCTCGTATTTGCAATCAAATAAAGACATCAGTGAGGATTTCTTTGAATTATATTTTCATTGACGAATAATGGGTGTCATAAGAGTTTTTTGGCCATCGCTTGAAACTGATGCTCTCTCTGAAATATTTCCAACAAAAACCATGTCAATGAAAAGTGGAATTTTGGTCTAAATTCGACTCTTAAGTGAAAAATTTGCACATTTACTATTTTCAAAAAATTTAAAAGTTTCCAACGTTTAAAAAAAAGATTTAACGATTCAGTTGCTCGTAAAAACACATTTTGGGGTTAAAAAAATCTTGGTGCTCCCCCAAACTTGTAGGGAAAGAACGTGTTTCCAGCAAGAACCAGCGCTTCAGATCTTGCTTTGAAGTGCTGTTCTGAAGACCCGTTTCATTTTGAATTTTAGAATTTTGCGTGAAAACTAGAGACATTTTTAGAATTATATTTGGCACAAAAAAGTACGCAATTTAATCTCAAAATGAAAACTAGAGTTTCGTAACTCAACCGGTTCTCTAATTACGAGCCAACCAATAAGTGCGGTTCTGAAGACTCGCATTAATCTTGAATTTTGGAGTTTTGTGTGAAAACTAGCAACATTTTAAAAAGATCAAAGTATTTTGTCCAAAACTTCCAAATTGTCTAACCGATTGCAATTTTCCGAGATGCAATTTTCATCGAAAATCTTCAAAAATTAACAAACTTCAAAAATTACAAATCGGTCCGATGTTAACAGTTTTTGACAGACAAAAAGCGGTTTTCCAAAGGAAATTGCGACTTTAAATCCACATAGAAAACATTGATAACATTGTCTTGTAAAATCATCTTTTCGATCTTCAAACTCTTATGACTTTCAAGTTTCTCAACCGATTTCAAGTTTGCAAAATACAGTTTTTAGCCAAAATCACTCGCTTTAGAACGAACTTTCAATGATCCAAATCGCTCGTATTAAGAGAGTGACTAATTTATTTATACTGAAGGAAATCTGATGCTGAATAAAATTATAATAACAGCACCTATTATTCATAATATGCGTGTTATTCACGTTGCTGTTTGTCATCATACAATGTATTTATTTTCTTAAATTGTTTACGAAATAAGAAAAATTATCGTTAGTCGACAGAAACAAGGGGGGAGGGTAATGACCCCCATTACCCTCCACTGGATCCGCCCATGACATTATTAGCCAACATCCTGCTTGAAGTTGCCCCTATTTTCCTTCTGTTTCAGATTAACAAATATTCGAAAATGCCTATAGAAAATTAATTGAATCTCTCTCCATCTGTAAATTGCTGGTTTCTACAGGTTCCTATTGACGAGCTGAATAATGTAGCTTTCACCCTTCAATTTGCACTCGTAATATACGTTAAAGCTAATCAAATCCCCGATTAATGGCAAAATGAGGATAATTGCTTTTGCAAAAGGAAATGGAAGCGTTTCAATGTCGGGCCCGCTCGTTGATTTGCAAAAACTGCGTTTCTCCATTTAGATGCCCATATATTAAAGAATGCGTGAGGGTGTGCGAACTAATGGCTGAAACATTTCAATTCGCCCCTTCTGCATGTTAGCAAGCAGCGTTTTATTGTAGACATTTGATAAAACCTGTAGTAAATTCTAATTCGAGCCTTATCGATCACCAATAAAAGGAAGAAAAATTGGAAACCCGAACAAGATTCAGATTTATGGTGCATGCAGACGTCAGCTGCGAAATGAGTAAACACTCGATATTTTTTATTTGCACCGGCTCCCTTCTCGTCGAAGCGAAATCCGATATAGAAGGAGCGCATAAAATGAAAACATAATCCCTTTTAATAAAAATCTCCTCGGGGTATATTGGTTAATAAAGTTTTATACTTTTTAGCGATTCGGGAATGTTTGCCCAAAAAATCTGCCTGAAAATTCACTGCCATGTGGTTTGGCTGGTTGAGTAACCATTCACAACTTCTTCCGTTCATTCTAGCCAATATTTGAAATTAAAACGTCTTTTTAGCAACCTCATGGGGCTGAATTCGCCGAGTATTTCGCCCAATCTCTAATCCTAGACCAGTCAACAACCTAATTTCGTTGATGTTTAGGTAGGCGTGCTTGGGTAGACTTTACCAGTTATTATTTCATGTTAGACCGTTAATTAAACATGTCAAAGTAAATGTAAATGGTTGTAATCTTGAACTTTACAACAGAAAAATTGCCTCGAAGATACTTGACTTTATTTATGAACATTTAGCGCTGAACGAAAGGACAAGTAAAGTCACTTTGGCCAAGCACTGCATTAAAAGTAAGTCCCAAGATCAGTTAGTTAAATACTTCAGTGAAGCATTCAGGCCACATCGATGGCAGTTTCCGTGAAATATGTAGGTTTAACGTTTTTTGAGTGCACTTGGACTGATCAAGCAACAATATTTAAACTACATTAACTTAAGTGTGATTAGGTGTTACGTAAAATGTTGAATGTAAATCAGCAGTATTTCCGCTAAAACTAAACGCGAAAAGTCTATTCGACAGAGCAGAAGAACGCCCCATAACTAATGCACGAAAAAAGGCGAGACTTAATTTACTTCTTCATCTCTGCAGTCGAGTCCATATGTTCGATTCGATCACCAAACAGCTTTTTAAATACGCTGGTTTCAAATAAGATGTGACAAGATTATTAAGAGGAAAAATCTGACAGCGATCACTGTTAAAATTTAAAAATTCCATGCCTCAATGCACACCGCAGGCTTTTTATTATTTCTGTTTTTATGTGAGCTGGAAGCGCCCATGCCTGAAAGTTTTTTTCACCAAAGCAGACGCATGTAGCATTTCTGATGAATTATCTCCCTATTAAAAGTTCTTTTGATGTTTATATTTCGCTCGGTCGTACATAATTGTCACTTCGGCAGCTTCTGTTTCGTTTTGCAATATCTGTTCTACATAGTGTCTTTGTCATCTGTTAGATCAAAAGCGGGTTTAATGTAGAAGTGAATGCCTGTGGCCCTTGTTTTCCAGGATGGGAACGCATATTAAAAAATTTCAGGCATGGAAACCAGCGCAAACTTTATTAATTTTTTTCAAGTTAAGGGCCAATTTTTCATTCCAATGCAAATGAATATTTGCATATAGTCAGTAAAGAGGATTTTTCTGGAAGGAATCGCACTTAATCACAAAGACGGGGTTCTCTCGAGTTGAACTGCGACACTTAAGGGCAATTTTCGGTGTAAAATTAGCGAAATTAATGCGTATGCATTATTCAGTTCACCTTCGATCCATCCGAAGAGTTCGCCCAAGTAGTTTACGGTAATCTCTTTAAGAATCTTTGTCAGTTTCAAGTGAAATGGCAGGAAATTGATTTTGCACAATGCAAGAATTTTGAACGTGCCGGCTATATTATAAAGTTTCTATATTTCTGTCATTTTGTGGTATACGTGCACTGAAAACTTTAAAAGTTTCCCAGAGCAAAATGCATATTATAAACATGTCTAAAAGGGATATTGAGCACGACGAAAGTATGCTTTTATTAAAATCTATTTGAGATATTTTCGAGACACCGATTTTTACTTGACTTTGTGGCATTATTTATTTAACGAGGGATTATTATCTGCGACTGAAAGTTCGGAGATATGTTGAAGGTTAGCGAATGCAAAATTATTAGGGATTTTGTTGGGAAATTGTCCTCTGTGCATCTTTACGACTGCGATTGCAAGTTGTTTACCAAAGATCGAAACTTGAGACAAAGAGGGTTCTTATTTTATTTGACTGGCCCCAATACATACTGATGTCCTTATTATGTCGATAGGGAAATCGTGTTTTGTTAGGTTTGCATATTTTAACAAAAATCCAGTTTTCTCAATATTTCAGACACGCGCTGGATGCTCAAGTTACAAACATTGTCCCGATAAATCAGAAACCTTCCCTGTTCAAAGGGAAACATTAGTAACTCTTCACCGGGTAAAAAGTGTAACTCTTCACCGTGACGTTTTTCTGCTGACAACAATAAACTGGACAGTTATTTAATTAAAATTGCCAGATTCAAAATGAAATAAACGTGCCCGAAATGGATAAAAACCGATATTTCCATACGACCTTTCCGGAATGCTTTGTTATTCATCATCATTGGCAGAATGCATTGTACGTTTTCCCTTTCGATGCGACATACAAGGTACCCGCATTGAAATTCCGCGCAATTTTACAATTTAAAAATCCACAGCTGGGCTTGGACGGTAATTTAATTACAAAATACTCACTTCGAAAATAGCTGGCAAAATTGCCCTAAACGTAAATTAAATTCAGCTTTTTGCCACTGGTCAGTTCGTTTTCCCACGCTTACATAAATAAATTATGAAGAGTTCCCCTATCATGCACCAAAAACGGATTTATACCTGCATTGTCCAAATTAGAGTTATTATCCTATACCTCTTTCTATCTGCCTTACGGGAAAATCTGTTATACTAGCGTAGTATTCGTTTATAGTCAAGTCAGGTACGGGATGAATTTTTTAGTGCCCGGAGGAACGTTTGGATACATGACAGGCCTGGCTTGAGGTGATGCTAATTTTGTGCGGCCCCTTTCTAATTATTTTTTACTCGAATCTCGTATGGCGCGAACAAAAAATCTACTGGTCAGAAATGGGCGTAATAATACAAGTCTTTTGCTTTTACCGTTTTGAGGCTTCTCTAAAATTGCTTTTTTCATTTTCTACTCTATAGTTATCAAGGTTTTTTTGCGCTAATCCGGCTTTAAGTTAAGGTTGCTATTTAAATAAACCTTTATGGAACTTGAAGTATTTTGAGCAAAGTTGCTTTGAGGCAACTCGAGCAATTTAAGTTTGCAAAAAATTTAAACAAGTAGGGTTTTCTAGATTTTCCTCGTTTTAAAGCTCCGAAAGCGAGAAATTTTCGATTATTTGAACTCAAAAGGATTCAGAATGTTTTTAATGAGCTCGATACATTTATTGCCTCCTTGCGACGATTGAAAAACCGCTAGGAACGACCCTCAATGAAATGACTGCAATTTTTGCTTATTTTGTCCCAGAAAGTTTTGACTCATTTTTCGGTGGTGCAAAATTTCAGAAAATTCGAACAATTTAAATTTTTTAGAAAAATTTGTAAACAGATTTTCAGAGCTTTTCGAATTTGATTGCTTGAAAACGACAGAAAATGACCGCAATTTTCGATTATTTATAAGGAGCTCACCGAATTCCTTGTTTGATTGCCATAAAAATGACGCAAAATTTGAGGCAGTTTGGACGGTTTCTGTTTCTTCGAAAAAAATGTGAATAGGGTGTTCAGAGCTGTTCGATTTTTTCTACTTGCAAACTGCTAAAAACACCGCAATTATCGGTTATTTTGAAGTAGAAAATTTCGGCTTGTTTTTCAATAGGCTCACTGAATTTCTTGCTCAATTGCCACAAAACGTGAAAAATTTCAGGCAATTTCCGTATTTTCCAAATTTTTGTAAACAGGATTTCAGATCCGTTCGAATTTGACTGCTCAAAAGCCCCAAAAAATGACGGACATTTTCGGTCACGTTGTCTCAGAAAGTTTTACTTTGTTTTTCAATAAGTTCAACGAATTTCTCATTCGATTGCCCAAAAACCGGTACGAAATTTGAGGCTATTTGAGTCGTTTATTTAATTTCTTTCCAAAATTTCGTAAATAGATTTTCAGAGCCGTTTGATTTTTACCACTTCGAACTACGCGCATTTTCGATCATTTTGACTAGGCGAGAAAATTTTAGTGCGTTTTTCCATAATCTCACTAAATTCGTCGCTTTATTGCATTAAAAATGGTACCAAATTTGAGGCCATTTGAGCGTTTTCAGTTTTATTCGAAAAATTCGTGCAAACGTAAACACGTTTTCAGAGAAGTTCGAATTTGACTGCTCGAAAGCCGTAGAAAATTACCATAATTTGCGGTTATTTTGCATCAGAAAGCTTTGACATATTTTGCATTAAACTTACTGAATTGCTCGCTTTATGTACGTAAAAATGAAATTTACAACAAAAAACACTAATAATTGATATACTACTTGCTTCAACGAAAATTAAAAATGTGTTCGAAGTAGAACACCCTTATTTTACGTGGCTTAAACCTGACGATTTAATGTAGGAAAACGGACCAAAAAAAGTTTAAAAAATTACATTGTTAATTGTAAAGAATCTAGGGTTTCAACTTGCAAGAGTTTTGCGCTATTTTGTTCAAAAATTGCTCATATGTTGCATCGAAATAGCTGTTTTAGTCAATCGAAAAAACATAATTACAACAATTTTTTCGGCAGAACTTCCTAGGAGCGACTGTTGCGACTGACAAAAATTGCTAATTTTAAAATCGTTTTTTAACATGACTTCCTTCATTTCCGAAATATTTGCCTAATATTTTATGATCTACAGAGTGATACTTTTTCAGGGGGGAAAGAGTGGACCTAATTTTTTCCTCAGAACTTTTTAGACGCATGCTACTGCCGGATGATAAAACACGGAGTCTTTCGTGCGTTTTATGAGCAACATTTTCACTCTCTTGCATCTTTTCATATCTGCCCAGTTTTCGAGAAACAAAAATTAACGATAATCAGAAATATTCCCATTTATATTCCATCAGGAGTTTGAAACAGTTTTGAGCATCACTTTGGCATCGTAATTACGAAATGAACGGTTGCATCATTGCCAGGGTGCATATTCGGGCTTTCGAACTGAGCCACGATAACAAAATTAATAATAATAGAGCTTAAATCTAGAAAGACAAGTCCTGAATATTAAAGTCGCCTTAATCTCTTGTAGTAGATGTATAGGTTGGCTGAGACAACGCGTAATACCGGTAGCTTCATGAATAAATTTTGACGGTCACTAATGCGACTTGAAAAGAATGTTAATATGACGCTTTCTAATTGGAAGAGCTCAGTAACTGTTTTGTGTAAATATTTATAGCGACAAGATATATGATAGGTTTTATTAGAATATTATTCTAATGTGACGACGAATCACCATTTTCAATGGCCAGTTTTATCGGATTTTTATGCTAATTCGTCCAGTGAAATACTTCGTCAATGATGAGGATCAGAATTTTGTCGAAAAATATGCAGTTGGAATGAATGTGACATTAATTTTTTTCAGTCGGGCATTTTTCTGGTTTTTCTCTTCCGGTCAACTCGATAACAATCGCCAATCTCCATTGCTCTTCGAAAACTGTTACTTTTAGCACTGCGAAAATTCCCTTAAATTCGATCAAACTTAACATTGTTAATTGGCTGATTTATTCCCAAATATCCAGCGATTATTTAAATGTGAAATCCCAACCAGCCAATTACTATAAGCCTTCATCGATATTACATGCAGTCGATAGTGCGCTGTAAACGCTCATTGAACTGAAAAAACGACGGACATGATCCACCTAATCACGTTGAGTATCCAACGTATATTTAGCATTAACATTTCATTCAGTTCTACATGGATTCGGAATTATACTGCGGGTATTAATATGGGAAACTAATTATCGATATTGTTTGCTTTCAATTTCCATGTTGGCGACAACAAGGGTTTCACCATGGAGCGATGGAACGGATCAATTGAAAACGCGAGCACAGTTTTTTTCGATAATTCATGGCTAATAAGTTAAGGGGAATAGCAAAACAACCGTCCGTAGTAGCTCCCTATGAAATACTATTAACTATTTACTATTTCTTTAGCGCCAGCATGCAGTGGAGTATAATGGTGTAGGAAGAGAGAAAAGTTTTTAAATGTCACTGAATGTGTGTCAATGCGGCAGTAATATGGGCGCAGCTTAGTTATTGTAATACTATTATGGTGGCGCGTGCAAGGAACAGAAAAACGATTTACACAGAATTCAATACAAGAACTTGATTGGTTTTGAGTGCTTAATGAGTCGTAAGATTATGGCGAACTTAATTAAGTCGCTGAATAATTGCTGGCTTTCTTCAGCTGCAGTTGATGTGTTTTTTGTCAAAATCCCTCCGATGTGAGGAGACGAGGCCTTGCATATTAATACCCCTTGGAGCCATCCGGGCAATAACATATTTGTCTATGCTTGTGGTATTTCCCGCTATTTATACATCCTTTTTTCAAATAAATAGGTAGACATATATTCCACAATAAATATAGGAAGCCTTTCGTCTATGCCAGATTTGAGTGGTGACACTTTCTGGCTAGGGATTTATAGCCGAAATGAATCTTTCGTTTATAGTTGTCTAGTGACTTTTACAACGAGATAAAACCGACCAAGACTGATTTTTCGGTGACAAGTAATGGATTCTTTATTGGGCGCAAGTTGGATGTCTCTGTTTTGTTTAATGCGTTTTTATTATTTTAGTATCGCGTTACGCAGCGCTATCCAAATGGCCGGAGGAAACTCTAGCTGGTGGCATGTTGATTCAAGCAAATCGCATATGCGACCAGTTATTGGTCGGCTCTAACAAGTCCAAATGGATAACGTTCATAGATGAACGATTGACATTCGGGAAAGTCTCCATCAGATCCTCGACTAAATCCAGAAATAGAAAGATTCCAATGTACGAAGTGACGAATCATTCCAGTGTCTCATGTCATGCAAAATTATAGTCTTGAACGCCGAAAAGCGATGTGTTTTGCTTTATGAGGCACACGTGTTTAATAGTAGCTTGATGATTCATAGAAAATATCCGTAACAACTCCCAGTGGGTCTATTGCGGTTAAAATGCGGCAAATTATGGATGCCAACATTTTAAGCAGAAATATACAGCGCAGATTTCCATTAAAAATCAATGATCTTTTCCAAACTTCTTTGCGGAAGCGTTTGATCCAAATTGGTAAAACGCTTTAAGATTTGTGCAGCTGTTTGTTGAGTCGCGCAATCATTTTTCACATTATGCCTACTTAATTTTCTTTCTCTCGAGTTCATTTCAAAACTGTTGTTCAAAAAGTTCACTTCATTGTGCGACAAGAAGAAAATCTTACTTTCGGAAAATCAGTAAGTTTTAAAGATCAAATGTGTCTGACCAGAAAAGCTTGAAACTGTTGACGCCTAGAGAAAATTACACTGTCGAAAGAATTGCAGGTTCTGCAGATGAAGAATGGCTTTAAAAACCGTTAACTTGAAGCGCTTTTGAAAGGCCGAAAGTGCACGAAAAGAGTATGCAAAAAAGTTTTCAATGAGTTTACAGGAAGAGGAAATGATACTCTGGATACCAGCAGCAAATTCTAAATCGAGGTGAATAAATTAAAGTTTTCAGAAATTGCTAATTTATCTTAAAAGTCTTAAGAACACCTTAAGATATTTAACGCGAAACAAAAATTATCTAAAAAAATGCAGATGAAGAGGGATTTAAGACACTCCTAACTTGAGTAGATTTTTCAATGATCGAAAGTTCACAGAAGAGGAACTGGAGATAGAATAACAATCTCAAAAAATAACAAGTTTTGAAGGTGAAGAATGCTTTTAATAAGTGCTAACTGAAAAGGGTCGAAAGTACATGCAAAAGGGGCTTTGAAGCGCCCACAAAACTCTGGAAAAAAATTGCAAGTACCTGGAAAACCTGGAAAGCTTTCCATTGGTCCAAAGTGTACAACTCGAAAAAAAATAACAAGTTCTGAACATGGAGAATGGTTTTAAAAATTGTTAACTTGAAAAGCTTTTAAAAGGTCGAAAGATGTACTTTACTCGTAAAAACTTAAACTCGATAAAAATAATTAATTCTGGTGAAGACTGGTTTTAAAAATTGTTAACTTGAAACACTTTTAAAAGGTCGAAAGTACATGAAAATGAGGTTTGAGACATTTGAGGCGCCCACAAAATTCTGGCAAAAATTGCAACTGCTAAAAATGAAGAGCGATTCAAGACAGTGTTAACTTGGAAAGCTTTGCAATGATCGAAAGTGCACACAAGCGCAAGCAAAAGGAGCTTGAGATCGTGGACGAGTAAAAATCCCAAAATCGATAAAAATAATACGTTCTGAAGATGAAGACTTAAGCTCAATACAAATAATTAATTCTGATGAAGACTGGTTTTAAAAATTGTTAACTTGAAACGCTTTTAACAGGTCGAAAGTACATGAAAACGAGGTTTGAGCCATTTGAAGCGCCGACAAAAAGTGTTCAAAATTAAGAGCTATTCAAGCCACTGTTATCTTGGAAAGCTTTCCATTGACCGAAGCGCATGCAAAAGGAGCTTGAGACAGTTGACACGAAGAGAAAATCATAATCGCTACAAGAACACCAAGTTTTGAAGCTGAAACATGTCTTCAACTTGTTACTTTGGAAAGCCCTTAAATGATTAAAACTGTCTGATGAAAGCTGGCAGGAGACATAATTCCTCGTGCAGAAAACCTTTTTTCAGCCTGCCTTTTCTTTAGCTTATGTAGTAGAGAACGTTCCAATAGCCATATGAAACATTTGAAAAATTTTCTCTATCTTTGCTCTTCCACGAGCCGCTTGCACCACTGCACTAAGCCGAATGTATTACGCGGCGTTACATATTTCCGAGCACACCCTTTGTCACTAATTAAAAGGCTAAATATACCCGAGCTTACTATTTAGCATTTTGCGGAATATATTGTGCACTTCCAGTTTTAAATTGTTTGCGGCTTTTCCCCAGGCCGTTTCCACAATGCAATAAAGATGGTGCGCCCAGGAAATTATAATTCCTTCTACATTTTGCTCTTCGAGTGGAAATAATGCAATTTGGCCGCACTCTATGGTCTATCTTGCTCTTGTTCCATCCACTTCTTAGTTATGTATTTTTGCAATTCTCCGCCTCATAAACTGCTTAAAAGAGCGCAAATCTACCAATAAACCGACAGTTACCATCCATCAAATCAGCCCATTCAGAATATCAAGCTGGCAGGCCGTGTGTTGGCTTTAGCATGTAGTACATTTGCAAATGATGCACAAACAAATCAAGCACAACGATTTTCTCCCTACAGGCAAATACATCAAAGCAATAGGCCTTAATTGATTGCCATTTAAATCGGAAGTCGTATGTCTGCGTAACTAAATATTATTTGGTTCGATTACATTAGACAGTTGATGTAAAATTGAGACTCTCCTGCCGGGTCTGGTGTTTGTAGGGCAATTTTATAGAAAGTTCCTCATTTTCCTTGAGTGAATTAATATTGAATTCGTCCTATTTGCCGTTCCAAACAAGTAAAGCCTTATTACAGCTTGGTTGTTTGTTCTAGTCAGGCTGTAGTTAATTGCACGATAGTTCAACAAATTATAGACGACTGACTTTTACTTGAATCACTTCGGTTTCGAACAATTCTCATTTAATTCGCTATAATATTCGCCTAATAATAACTGGGAACTTTCATAACAAATCCTTGTAACCTTCATTTCTTTCGTTACCTTACCAATCACTCAATACGCGAAGAATAAAAATTCTAATGAATACTATTGAATTCGAATAAATATTGTAGAGGAGATATTATTGTTTCACTTAAATATGGCTTGTCATAGTCAATAGGGATCTGCAGGTTCAGTTTAACGGCAGTTTCAGTGATTATTAATAAGCAAAGCACCCCGTTTATAGCAACTATTTTTCACTTTTTCAGTGAAAGGTGAAAGAAGCAGCTTCAATTGCATGAAACTTTGATTAATTGAATGCATAGCAATAATTGATTGAGCGGATAATTTCAGTGTTTTGTGAGATGTTTGGCTTGATTGCGCTACACATTAATGGGTTTGGTTGACGCGAATGAATTTTTTCAGTTAATGAGCAAATCGACTGAATGGAATGAAAAAATCAACAAGCTTGCTTTATATAACATCGACACTTCGACGCAGTTTGGTTTATAAATATTGAACGCATGAGAGGAACGGTAAGAACAAATCCCTACTAATTTTATCTACCTACGTAATGAAGGCAAATTTATAGTTAAGCAATTTTTTAACTAATTTTATTAAAATTAGTTGAGAAAACTCGGGGGGTTTCTTGAGCGTTTGCCTTCTCAGCTTCATTACAGTACAGCAGTTTTAAATCGCTTAATCTCGTCTCACAAATAAATTATGAACTCCTGACAACAACACTAATATGTATGTATATTTCTTTATGCACTGCTCTACTGTTTTTCATCTGATTTGGCTACGAAATATGAATTGCACGGAAATCATCAATGTAACTTCATAACGATCAGCTACAATCGATCATGTCTTTTTCCTTTCTCCTAATATTTTTTCATTTGAGTATACGCACTTTTTTCAGTAGTTCAGTTTGTCGTTAATCCTGCACAGTTTCTTTGAATTTTTTAATTCAGCTGAATGATCTCACTTTGCGTATTCTAACATTATTCGTCAATGTTTTTCGGATTGCTCGCATGTAAAAGCAGTGTATTAATGCCATAAAAATATTAAGGTCATTGACAGAGCAAACTGCGCAATTAGTTGATCATTTCAGTTCTAAACTTGTGTTCGCCATTAAAATATTGATAAGACTTATCTTAGGACAGCTGCAGAAAGTCTGTCGCCACACAATATTGTGCAATCATCTACGACTCACATGCGGCTATTTGGTTGCATTCTTACGAAATATTAGAAGCTTACCGATAAGGGGCGATGAAACATTTTTTTAAATGTTTACTTAGTCGATGGAGAATTTTTATTGAATTTTGATCGTTGTTGGTGAACCTTGATGAATGTTGACCTTTGTTTATCTGGCGAACAGTTGTTTATCGTTATTATATCGCTTATTGAACCATTTTAAACTGGTGAAAGTTGAGCATTTGCACTTACCTTTTTAATTTTCGCATCAATGCATCATGGTGGACCACTTAACTGTTGTGATCCTAAAAAAGAAAACAGTGTAGGTATTTAAGTTATTTCAATCAGCAAGCAATTAGCTAGGAAAATGGGCTGTAAACGCTGAGCTTATTTGAGATATTTAGAAATCGCTTTTGCTAAATAAATGCCGCAATATACTGAAGCATCTGGGCAATTTTCTAGTACCCACAATCCTGCAATCCGCTTGATTTATTTATTATTCATAATTTGATCAAGATGTAGCTTTTTGCTTTATTTGCCATTAATTGATGCGGGAATACCCAAGATGGTATTTATGCTAATGTGAAGAGACACTAACTGGCTAAATCCTAATAAACAAAAATACGAAAATTATTTCCTTAAACTATTGTCTTTGGCATCGGCTTAGTTGCGTGACTCAAATGATTGTCCCTAACGCCTATTTTCCATAATTACATTTTTGTTACGTGTAGCTAATCTCATTCAAATTAAAAAGTATAGAACTATCAATATCTACCCATTTTTAGTGGCTTTACATAAATTAACTGATATCGTATATAGGGACCGATTAAACAGGCCCTCACACTAACTCATTTGGCGACAAAAAATGGCCTTCTATGTCCTCGATTAGATACAATTAATTAAGCCACAAGCATATGCAAATTCCGAGCATATATTTTGTAAAAGTTTGGAAGCTATGTAAATATATGTATCTCTGATGGGACATTTGCTTAAACATTATCTACTTGGGACGTTCATAAATCGTTTTTTGGGGCTTAATATCAGTAATTTATGGAGGTAATCGGCATTACTTGCCCCAACACGTCGTAAATTATATTTTTCTATGCTTGAGTTGCGAAAACCAGA